GCTCCCGGGCTGTCAGCAGGGAGGGAAGCATCAGGGGGGTGGGGGAAGTGAGCAGCACTGAACTGCCAACTGGGCTTATCCTGGCCTGAGCTGGAGGGGTAGGGAGTGGATTGTGGCCTCGCAGCCAAACTCTTGCTTTTCAGCTCTATCACTTTTGCAAAGTAATTTCAAGACACAAGATATACAGTGATCATAAATATTGCTCCAAAGATTAAAAATGAGAAGGAGCAAATGGCTGGTATAATTGTACATCTATGATCCTGTACTGCTGTGCGCTCTGTTGAAAATATGATGGACATGATATCATAGGTGTGGAAGGATAATCTTATAGACCAATTACTTATATTAATCTGAACAACTGCAATTTTACCTCTCTGGAGAGGCTAGAATTTGAGACTTCAAAGTTCTTGATGGTGCTAAAGATGTAGGACTAAATTCAACCCTGGTGTGAGCACAAGGAGCTCTTCTGGCGTTAATGGATGGTTTGGCCTGTTGTGTACATCTCTATCTCTCTCTCTCTCTTTCTCTCTCTCCTTATTTCTCTTCTTCTTTCTCTCCATCTCTCTTTCTGTGTTTTATGATGTTTGAGTGAAACCTACTGGTCATGTTTTTAATCTGCATCACTGTGTTGCTTTTCCTGTTTTACTATTGCTGTTTTCTGCTTCCGCTTTGCTTGTAATATTGTTGCGTCTATGATGTGGTTGTGTCCTCCAGTGTCTGAAGAGAGCCCCACTTCCAGTGAGTCTGGAGTCTTCCTGTCCCAAGATCCTTCAGCTAAACCAGTCCTGCTACTTCCCCCCAAAAAATCTGCTGCTTTCCTTGGAGACCATGAGGACACCCCAATGAAACAGTTGTCCCTCCTCAAACAGCCCCCTGCCCTGCCTCCTAAACCCATTGCCAGGATTGCCAATCACTTAACTGGTAAGTAGGTGTTGTGAACACTCTGTGCCACTTCCTCTATTAAAGAAAGCAACTGCCCAACAACAAGATTCTTAGTGTCTTTTTTTTTGTGCAGATGTTGTGAAGATGTTTGTGAAGAAGCTTCTCTATAGATGTTTGTATGTGCATTAGTATTTCCTGTGTGTCATCCTTGAACAAATTCATCAGGGTGGGCATTCTCAGGCTTCTTCAAAGTGTGGGCGAAGAATGTCTTGCATTCAAAATCTTGTTTAACTCTATGGTTGGTCCAGTAAAAGATATCACCCTAACAAATCCTTGCCTCTTACATAGAGATTATTTCAAAGACACCTCTCCTCCTGTCTGAAGTCTTGTAGGCCACCGTTTCTCCCAATCAAATGGCTACAGACCTACTCATCCATAAGCAAAATACCTGCAGCAACTATTTAGAAAAATAATGTGAAGAGAAGGTACTTCTATGTGTTTAATTGCATTTAACAGGATAAGCAGTCTTTGTTCTTTTGAAATAAATGAGTTCTCCTCTCTCCCCTTGCTCTTCATTATATCTCCCTCTTCCATGTGCCTATTCTTCCTGGTTGACCCTGCACATGTTCCCCTGCACATGCTGTCCTTTTCTAGGTCCCCTTCTTTTCTGGATCCCTCTACAAAGTATTTTGCTCCATCTTCCTCTGCCCCTCATCTTTCTTCCTCATGATACCCACGTCTCCACTGCTTAGGCATTTCCCTCCTCTTGGTCCTGTTGGGTACTAGCAGCTCCAATTCCTGTGACTGTCTGCTCTACTCCCTAAAGATACTGTGGCATTCTCTCTTGCTGTATTGCAGCTTGTCAAGGAGGCAGGCTATTCAGGATCCTTTCCCTTGTTTTCATTTATTCTACAAGTGTTTGGGCTCTCTCTTGGAATTAAAAGCACCTGTAGGAACTTATGGAAAAAGGGGCGCATCTACATGAGATGCTAACTGTGCAGTAGCCTAATAATACTGCACAGTAGCACTTCACAGCATGGGCAGTACTAATACGCTGCTGCACCATATTATTAGGCTACTGTGCAGTAACGCCACTAAAAAGGTGTTCATCAGTGCTATTACACAGTAACTCCAGTTAGTGCAGATTTATTTAGTACTTGATTATACAAATACTAAATTAAATGCGCAGTAACCACTTCTTTAACGAATGTGTAGACATGCCCAAGGAGAGCAGTTAGTACTGTAAGACCAATCAGTTTTGCCCATCTACCACCAGACCACTGCAGTAAAGAAATATTAAAGTTATACATATAAGGATAAGAAAAAGTATAGGTGTTCCTAGATGTATGGCTATACCTTTTGAGATGTACATGCAGAATTACGACTGTTTTCACAGAGGCACAGGAATGATTACTGGGAACATCTGGGTTCTAAACTATCCAGATACAACTCCCTACCTGTTATTAGGCTGGTCAGAGTCTTCACCATCCCATGACAAGTCCTTGCCTCCCATAGGTGGTTTTTATGAATGCTAAGTAGTACTCTTTTTCTTATTAGTTCATTATGTTTTGTTTTGACTACTGAGAAGAAAAATCACCCACTGGTTTTGTAACATGTCTTTGTGTGTTAATTTAGGTGGCAAATGTGTTTTGTTTTGTTTCATCTAGTTTACTCTTGCATGAGATTTCTCTACCCTTATTGCCTGCCACAATCCATACATACTGATAAATTATGCGTAAAACTGAAAACTAAAGGAATGATCTACCAAGCTACAAAAAGGAGGCACCATTCTCATTTATTTTCTTTAAGCCTCATAATAGAAGGCTTAAATTTGCTTCCTGTTAACTCCTGGAATTTTGTCTACCCCTATTTAAGTGGTGAACTATTGCTCTCAAATCAAGTCATAAGAAAGGAACATAAACGAAAATACCTTATACACTGGGTGTCAAAGATATGGCCTGCATAGCCCCATCATCCAGCCTCCAGTGCTGCCCTAGGGTCCAGAGCTAACCCACATACCTCAGGCATCGTGCAGCAGACTGGCCCTATATGCCAGGCCCAGTACATGCATTATACATAGCACCCACCCTGACCAGTCTAGGACACATGCCACCTTCCTCAGCCAATCTGTGCTGTATATCACTCTCCAGCTAGCCCCCCGGCCGCTCCAGGGCAGGCATCGCATGTAGCATGGGTCTTGTACCAGCTGGAGTGGACACTGCATGCGGTGTGCATTCTGGACTGGCCCTGCATGGGGCATAGTCCCTTAACAGCTGGAGCAAGCGCCATATGGCTGGATCTGGCATGTGGGGGCAGGGAGAGAAGCAGGTCTGGAGGTCCAACTCATCTGGCTCATGAACTGGCCCTGCACCACTCATGCAGCCCACAGGGTCAGGTGAGTTTTATACCCCTGTCTTATACTAACTATACATTGTACAAAAGTATGGAAAGAGAGAGAGAGAGAGAGAGAGAGAGCGCATGCACCTTGCTTTTTAAGTTAGCAGAAAAATCAAAGGATGAATATGTCTGCCAGTATGTATTTTACAACTGAAACTTTATGTACAGAATGCTGCCTACCTTAAGTACTTCAGGGACTTAGCAGTTAGTTAAAGAGGTGGTTTTCCAGCAAAGGTGGGGAAGCTCTATGCTCTCAATATTCTTATCTACTTTGGGGTAGCCTTTAAAGACAGGATGACTGAACAAGGCAATCTTTTCCACACACACTTTGCTGTGAAAAGGAGATACAATTTCAGAGTTATTTACAGGATCCTCATTTAACTGATAGTTGTCCCACGGTGGAACTGAAAGCTTCACTCATACCTGTCCTTATAAATAAAAAAATTTCAGGCCTGTAAGTCTGTCCCGTTCTTCAGAGCTCCTCTTACTGTGAAATCTGGGAACATCAATTTCTTTGGACCTTAATGGTCTTCTTTAGGGATTATATTGGACTTGTATAGTCTTTGAAGATGAGCAATTAATGCTAATGAATTACATTCACCATGAGGAAGCTAAATTAACACTATTCTTTTACTAATCACTCTGGAGACATCCTTGGTTTGTCTGTGAGAGAATTAGTAATGTTAGGATGAAGACCAAATGAAGACTTTCAGGTTTGCATTGCATTTTCAATGTTTGTTTTTCTACTGATGATTTTGTGAGGGAAGTAAAGGACAAATTCAGACACTGCAAGCATGATTAATACAAAATGACAGTGGTTAATGGTCTTTTAAATCTGTGTAGGAAGCTATGAGATGAAATGTCATCTTGAGATGAGTTTCATTTCAGATATATCATTGACACTGAGGTGGCAGAAATGCCTCTGAGCTTTTACGTTTTTAAGAAATGTAATTTTTAGACACAAGAGTACCTGAGAAGAAAATCACCACAGGCAGGGGCAACAGAGGAAAGAATGCATAAATGTTTCAAATGATGCAGATACAATGGTTCCTGTAAATTTGATCTCTTGTAAAACTTCATGCAACTTAGAACTCTTCACTTAGGACTTTTTGGCCTAGCACACATCATCTGAATGAAGACAGACCAAAGACATTTGCCTGGGGGGATCTAGTGTGAATTACACAGAGGTAGGGGGCAAGAAACATCCCTTCCAACATGATTTGAGAGCACCCTTCAGCATTATCACTGTCTGTTTCACATACAAGTCATTCCTCTTGCTGACAGTTAACACAACGCCTACCCCTATACACAGAAAAATCAAAAATACCTTTTACCCCCTAATCATCTAGGCCCATAGCTACACAGTACAAAGCAGACAACCCAAGGAGTGGTATGTGGCTCTTAACTGTTCACTATGCTTCCCATTGGCCTATTATCTTACATTAATCCTTTCGCCAACTGTCAAGCATAAAAATTAATAATAAACCAAATTTCATGTATATATTTTTATCTACTCATAAACTTTCTCTGGAACAGAAGGAGGGTGCCCAGCTGAATCACTTAGGACAGGGTGTGCAGAATCCAATATTTGGTTTAAATTATAGGTTTTAAATAACTATCTGACACTGTATTTGCTAGGATACCACGGTTAATATCCCAAATTGCCATGAGCTGTTTAATGACACAAATTGCCAAGGCACCGGCTTTGTCTTATATGAAGGCTAACACTCCCAGGAGCACAGAATACCGCAGTTAAGTAATTGATTACTTCTCAGTAGCAAGCTTGAAATTCTCTGCAAAATCCAGGAGACCTCCTTTGGGGCCAGATTATGATTTCAGCAACATCTGAGTAAATTCAGTGTCAATGGAATTACTCCTTTTGTTTTACCTTTGATCAGAATCTGGCCCTGGAATTCAACAAGCATTTTGGAGCTTTTAAAATGTGTTCAAAGTCATTCCATTGTCTTGCTTCCTCAGTCAGCTGTTGGGAGGAGGACATGTGTCACATTTTTCATTCTAAGAACATGCAATCTAGTTATGTCTATATACACTATGATTCAGACTACCAGCCAGCTGAACAACAGTGATAATTCAAATATAGCACAACTGGTCCTGATTAGAGGTGAACATTTAATGGGGAAGGAGGTGTTGTAAGTCCATAAAAATAACTACTGATAATGTAGACCTGCCAGGATTGCATTCCAGAACAATGAATATAAGGCATTTTGCTGTATTATCAAAACATGGTTGATTGTTAGTTACAACTTTACAAAAGTATTTACAACTACAAATTTACCTGACAGATAATCTCTGAATAATTTTTCTACCCCAGCATTTACACATGTGATATAGCTCCTTAGTTGATTAGTCCATTGTGCTGCCTGTAGGCATTTTGATCTGTCACACAAGGTGCTTCTTTCTCCTCCAGTACTCCAAACTAGTTATTTGGTTTTGCAGTAAATTCTCATATTGCATAGTATGAATACCTGGGTTCTGAGTTTGGGAAGGTGCAGTGGAACAAGGACAAAATGGAAAAGTCTTTTCCCCCAGTGTGTAGAGTGTCCATGGGAATGTAGTTGCTTCTATGACTTCTGAATGTAGTTGCTTCCTACAACACCTGCTATGTGAAGAGCAAGAGTTTC